CCATTTTGAATTACTTTTTGTGTATAGTGTGAGGTATGGGTCCTGTTTCATTTTTTTTGCAGATGGACATCAAATTTTGCCAGCACCATTTGTTAAAAATAAAGACTGTCTTTTCCCCATTTGATGGACTTTGGGCCCGTGTCGAAGATCAGGTGACCATACATAGATGGATTTACTTCTGGGTTCTCAATTCTGTTCCATTGATCAATGTATCTGTTGTTGTACCAGTACCAGGCTGTTTAGACTACCGTAGCTGTATAGTAGGTTCTGAGGTCAGGTAGTGTGAGTCCTCCTACTTTATTCTTCTTCTTCAGTAATGCTTTACTTATCTGGGGCCTCTTCCCTTTCCATATAAAGTTAATGATTATTTGTTCCATCTCTTTAAAGAATTTTGTTGGTATTTGGATTGGTATTACATTGTATTTGTAGATTGCTCTGGGTAGAATTATCATTTTCACAATGTTGAGTCTGCCTATCCATGAGCATGGTTTGTTTTTCCATTTATGTAGATCTCTTTGGGTTTATTGCAGTAGTGTTTTAAAGTTTTCTTTGTATAGTTCTTTTATATCCCTGGTTAGATTTATTCCTAAGTATTTTTTTTTAGAGGCTGTTATAAATGATATTGCTTTCCTGATTTCCTTTTCGTCATTCTCTTTGTTGGTGTATAGGAATCCAGCTGATTTTTGTGTGTTTATCTTGTATCCTGTTACTCTGCTGAACCTTTCTATTAGTTCCAGCAGTTTTCTTGTGGAGTCTTGAGTTTTCCGTATATAGTATCGTATCATCTGCAAATAGGGACAGTTTTACTCTTTCATTACCAGCTCAGATGCCTTTTATTTCTTTTTCTTGCCTTATTGCTGTAACTAGGACGTCCAGCTATATTCTATAGGCATGGTGATAAAGGACATCCATGTCTCATTCCTGTTCTCAAGGGGAATGTTTTCAGCTTCTCTCCATTTAGAATGATGTAGGCTGTTGGTTTTACATAGATGCCTTTTATTATGTTGAGGAATTTCCCTTCTGTACCTATTTTATTGGCTATCTTTATCAGTAATGGGTGTTAGACTTTGTTGAATGTCTTTTCTGTGTTGATTAAGATGATCATGTGATTCTTTTCCTTTATTTTATTTATGTGGTGTAGTACATGGATTGATTTTCTAATGTTGAACCATCCTTGCATACCTGGTATGAGTCCTACCTGGTGGTGGTATATTATTTTATTGATATAATGCTGAATTCTATTGGCTAGAATTTTGTTGAGAATTTTTGCATCTATATTCATGAGAGATATTGGTGTGTAATTTTCTTTCTTTTATGATGTTTTTCCTGGTTTTGCTATCAGGGCTATGCTGGCTTCATAGAATGTATTTGGAAGTATTCCTTCCTTTTCCATGTTCTGAGATAATTTGAGTAGTACTGGTATAAGCTCTTCTCTGAATATTTGGTAGAATTCTCCAATGAAGCCATCTGGGCCAGGACTTTTTTTTTATTGGGAGTGTTTTTTTAATTACCTTTTCAAATCTTTTCTCTTGTTTTGGGTCTGTTCAGATTTTCAATGTCAGTTTGTGATAGTTTGAATAGGTAGTGTTGTCCATTTCCTCTAGATTTTCAAATTTGTTGAAGTATAGTTTTTCATAATATTCTGTTATAATCCTTTTCTTTTCAGTTGGATCTGTTGTAATGTCCCTCATTTCATTTCTTATTTGGGTTATTTGCATCCTTTCCTGTTTTTCTGTTGTCAGTTTGGCTAGTGGTTTGTCGATTTTGTTGATCCTTTCAAAGAACCAACTTTTGGTTTTGTTGATTCTTTCTGTTGTTTTTCTATTCTCTATTTCATTTATTTCTGCTCTGATCTTTATTATTTCCTTTCTTTGGGTGGCTGTAGGCTTCTTTTGCTATTCCCTTTCTATTCGTTCCAGTTGTGTAGCTAATGTTTTGATTTTGTCCCTTTTTGATGTGTGCATCTGTTGCTATAAATTGATCTCTGATTACTGCTTTGCTGTATTCCAAAGGTTTTGGTATGATGTGTTTTCTTTCTCATTAGATTCTGGGAATTTTTTTATTCCATCTTCGATTTCTTCTATTACCCAGTGGTTCTTAAGCAGAGTGTAATTTAGTTTCCATTTAATTAATTTTTTCCCTTGCTATTCCTGTTGTGAATTTCTGCTTTGATGGCGTTGTGATCAGAGAAGATACTTTGTATTATCTCAGTGTTTTGGGTTTTGTTGAGGGTTACTTTGTGGCCTAAAGATGTGGTCTATTCTGGAGAATGTTCCATGTGTATTGGAAAAGAATGTGTACTTTGCAACTGTTGGGTAAAGTGTTCTCTATATGTCTATGAGTTCAGGTTGGCTGATTGTGGCCTTTAGATCTTCTGTATCTTTGTTGAGTTTCTTTCTAGATGTTCTGTCCTTTACCGAGAGTGGTGTGTTGAAGTCTCCTGCTATTGTATTGGAACTGTCATTTTCTTTTCAGTACTGTTAAAGTTTGTTTTATGTATTTTGGAGCCCTGTCATTGGGTGCGTAGATATTTATTATGGTTATGGCTTTATGCTGGATTGTCCGTTTAATCATGATGTAGTGCCCTTCTTTGTCTTTTATGGTGGATTTTGTTTTAAAGTCTATTTTATCTGAGATTAGTATTACCAGTCCTGCCCTTTTTTCGTTGCTGTTTGCTTGATGTATTTTTTCCCATCCTTTGATTTTTAATAAATTTATGTCTTTGTTTCTAAGGTATGTCTCTTGTAGACAGCATATTGATGGATCCTGTTTTTTAAGTCCTTTCTGTCTCTTTATGGGTGCATTAGGCCATTTATGCTCAGTGTAATTATTGATAAGTTTTAGTTTATTGTCATTTTGTAGTGCTTTTTCTTGTGGTGCTGACAATTTCTTTTTTCCTCTTATTCTCCTGTGCTGAATTCCTTTTATTTGTGGATTTTTTTTTTTTCATTTCTTTTGTTTTTGTAGATTTTGTTTTAAGTGAGACTTTGTTTTTCTTCTTTATTTTGGTGAGTAGGTTTGTTAGCTTTCTTTGTGGTTACCTTGAAATTTACCCTTATCTTCCTAGGTTTGAACCAGTCTGTTATTACTTGGTATCACCTTGCCTTCATCTCCATTAGAAACTTCTGTACCTACACCGTTTATTCCCTCTCTTATTGTTCTGATGTTGTTGTCGTTTACAGATTAACCTCTCCGGTTCCCTGTTGTAAATCTTTTGGTTTTGGGTAGTCCTTGAGAGTTCATTTCTTAGGTTGGTTATCTGGCTGGTCTGATGATGTGTCTGAGATTCAGGCTGCCATCTGATATTGTTTGTTCGCAAACCGAAGGACTCCCTTTAATAATTCTTGTAAGTTTGGTTTGGATTTTACATATTCCTTTAATTTCTGTTTATCTGGAAATGTCCTGATTTCACCATCATATTTGAACAAGAATTTTGCAGGATATATTATTCTTGGTTGGCTGTTTTTTCTTTCAAGGTTTTATATATGTTGTCCCATTGCCTTCTTGCCTGCATGGTTTCTGCCGAGTAATCAGAGCTTAGTCTTGTTGTTTCCCCTCTGTATGTGACTTTTCATTTTTCTCGAGCTGCTCTCAAGATTCTTTGTCTTTGGTTTTAGCAAGTGTGATTATGGTATGCCTTGGTGATTTTCTTACAGGGTTCATAGAGCTTCTTGGATGGTCAGTTTTTCATCCTTCATGATATTAGGAAAGTTTTCTGTCAGCAATTCTTCAGTGATCCTCTGTGTGTTTTCCATTTTCTCCTCCTGTTCTGCAGCTCCAATCACTGGTAAATTTTTGCTGTTGATTGTATCCCACATAATTCTCAGTATTTCTTCATTTTTCTTTTTTTTTCTTCCTGGTTTTTCCTCATAGTTGTATCCAAGTGTTTGTCTTCAATTTCTCTAATCCTGTCTTCCATCATTTTAGACCTGTTCCTTATCCTTTCTGTGACATTGTTGATTTCTGAAATCTTGTTGTTTATCTTTTGGATTTCTAATTGTTTTTGTATGATTTCTAGCTGTGAAGTTATTTTGGCATTTTGTTCCTATATTATTTCCTGAATTCTTCCATTTTTTTGTCTGTATTTTCCATAATTTGTGTATTTTTTCCTCATGTTTGTCTGCCTTTTGCTTCAACTCTTGGATAGCTCTGAATATTAGAGATTTGAATTCCCCGTCAGGTAGTTCTAGTGTGTTTTCTTCTACTGGAAAGTCATTTGGTGTTTTATTTGGATGCCTGCTGGAACCGTCCTATCCTGTACTCTTTTTAAACAGTTGTCTGACTGGATTTCTACCTCCCAGCTGAAAACTAATTTTCTGCCCTTGAACCATCTTAACTCAAGATCCATGTATATCATTTTATGTAAACAGACAGGACCTTAACTCTAGAATATTTAATGCCACCCCTTACTTGAGTGGCTATTTATTTTTTGAATTTTATTGTGGTAGTATGTATATAAAACAACATTTGTCATTTTAGCCATTTTTAGTGTACAATTCAGTGACATTAATTACGTTCACCTTATTGTTACAACCATCACCACTGTCCATCTTCAAATGTTTTTTATTACCCTAAACAGAAACATGGTACTGCTTAAGTAATAACTTTCCAATTCTCCCTTCTCCCAGACCCTGCTAACCACTAATTAACTTTTATCTCTATGCATTTTCCTTTTTTAGATATTACATGTAAATGGAATTATATAATATTTATTCTTTTGTTTTTGACTTATTTCATTCAGCATGATGTTTTCAGGGTTCGTCTAAGTCAGCATGTATCAGAATTTCATTTCTCTTTATGGCTGAATAACGTTCTGTTGTATGTATATACTACATTTTATTTATCGAGTCATCTGTTGATGGACACTTGGACTATTTCCGTCTTTGATGACCTCCTGTACTCTGCAATTCATGTCTTTTGTTGACTGTTAAGTGGTTAAATGTTTCATGATGTGAAAATATTGATATTATGTTAGTAATGCTCGATTTTTTTTCTTTCAGTCCTTATTTGGAAAAAACTTGACAACAATTTTGAATGAATACGTAGCTATGAAAGCAAAAGGTAAGGATACAGGTTCAGTGGTTTTTTCATTTTTTTAAATAATTTTATTTTTGTTGTTGAGAATATACACAGCAGAAGGTATACCAATTCAACAATTTCTACATGTACAGTTCAGTGTCAGTGTTTTTTATCTGTTTTATATAGCATTTATTGTTTTAGTTAAAAATAATTTTAAAAGGACATTAATGTTTCTTTGTAATGATCTTGAGAAGGCTGATTTGAGTTATGATGAGATAATGATTTTTAATGAGAAATATCTAATTAAATACTTCGTGTATATATTGTGTGATAAACAAATTGCTAAAATCTGAATGTTAGTAAATATAACAAAAAATCATTTTTAAAAAGACATAAGATAAAACTCTTCTTAGATTCTCTACCCTGACAAACAGGCATTGCTATGTGTTATAAAATTTCAAACTGAAGTATTTTAATTTTAAATTCTGTGTAGTCTAAATCTAAACACAGGAGCTAGTATTAAAATCATGTCTCATAATTTATGCTATATATAAAATAATACTTTAATGATGTTTTAGAGAGAAAGTTGTGATTATTTTATTCTCTACTATTGATTATTTTAGAAGTCCTGGTGGTGCAGTGGTTAAAGCACTCGGCTGCTAACCAAAAGGTTGGCAGTTCGTACCCACCAGTCACTCCATGGGAGAAAGATGTGGCAGTCCGCTTCCATAAAGATTTACAGCCTTGGAAACCCTGCGGGGCAGTTCTACTCTGTTCTATAGGCAGGGTCGCTATGAGTCAGAATTGACTTCGATGGCAGTGGGTGTTATTTCCATAGCTTAGAACATTAAAGTAAAAGAATTAGCATTTAAAAATTAACTAGCTTAAAATTACAATAGAAGAAGAGAAGCTTAACGTTAAGTACTGTCTATGTACAAGCATTGTTTAGGTGCCTTCCTATGATTTATCCCATTTAGTCTTTAAAATAATTCTATGAAAAAGGTATTGTTTAGACCCTATTATTAGGTATGAAGAAACTGAGCATTAGAGAAGCTAGGTAACTTTCCCAAGGTCACAAAACTAGTAACCAGTGGAATTTACCATGCCTACAAATTTAGGGCCTGAATTTCATTTGTAACTCTTTGAGAAGGTTATTTGATCTTTATGTCTCCTTTTTTTATCCTTCCCAACAATTTTAATCATCTTACAGGAATATTTGGAGTGTAGATGACATCAGAAACAATATGCTATTGCAAAACAGAGATTTGTATCCCCCTTTTATGTTGGATGGCTTTCTCCATCTTGAGTTTTTTATAAGTATATGGTAAGAGTTTAAATATGGTATGAGGCTCTCATAATGTTCGTTTTAGAGCACATCCTAGAAAAGGGTAATTAGTCATCAAAACTTTTGCCTATAATTCTGAGTAGTAACTGGTGAGCCATATTTTTAGAGGTCACTGAGCAATCACAGAGATTTGGAAATGTAGAAAACTAATTTCCACACTGTTGGGAGTTTGTATAACCTCTATTATAATTATTTTATTATAAAGCAAATTATTCTAATTCACTTTGGAATAATATCACATAAAATAAAGATAAAAAAATAGTTTATCTCTTTTTTTAATACAAATAAGATATAAAATCATTGGCCTAACAAAGCTTCAGATATTTCACAAATGTCCGCTTCCGCTCATATTGCATCTGATAACCAGTGACATGAGGAAAGAAAGCAGCCTTATTATGGCTTTGTGGGTCATTTTGCAAAATGGATTTACTGCTTAGTTCCCAACATCATGTTGACAACTTAGAAAAATGTTTTCTGTATTGATTAAATGGTCTTTGTTCAAATTGAATGAGGATTATTCTCCATCTTGGTTTATTAAGGTTTAAATAAAAATATTTAAAATAAACGTAAGGTTTATATTTTCCCCTTACGTTTTTAGAAACATCAAATGATGTCCCAGCCATAATGTCATCCCTGTGGAAGAAGTTAGACCATACGCTTTCTCAGATCAGGTAATAAATTTATTTATGTAATAATCTTACTGGAATGTACTTAATGATTTTGGAATGCAAACATACATAACTACTTGGGGTTTAAATCTTCATAAGTCCAGCATTTTACACTTACATAACACTGATACAATTTTAAATTGCTTTTTTGTCTTGGATTGGAATAATTAGAAATAAATTGTATACTTCAATAAAATGTTCAGAAATGAGGAAAAATGTGACTTGTAGAAGCTTAATTACATTCCCAAGTTTCCATTGCAATTTAGAGGCAGATCTGGGGCTAGAGTAGAAGTCTCCTAAATCCTAGTCTAGTGTGAATTACCTCAAGCAATTGTTTTTTCACTGCGTGTTCAAAGAATTGATACGTTGAATTGGTAAAACAAGAGATACGTTTCATAAGCAGCCATGTCCTTTGTTTCTTTTGTCATAAAGAAACAAGCTTGAAGAGTAACACTACTTTTGGGATCTTTTACTTTTCTAACTAGAACTTTAACGTGTTACTAATATCCAGCTTCTACCTAGGTCATGGCCTTGAAATGCCAGGTTCAGCATCCTTAGCAGGATGCCAACCATACTACTATCAGTTTTATAGCATCCCTTATTTGACCATAGAATCTGATATGAAAAGCATAATCTTTTAGTTTACTTCCCTTCCTCCCAGGGCCGCAAGTGAGTATCCCTACTCATCATCAACAGAGGCCTCAGTTCCCTCTTTGTTTAAACTGCTAAAATGGCTCCAAATGCTTTTTACTTAGCTCTGGACTGCATCTAATTTGGTAGTCTTACCTTCTTTCCAGGAGCCCTGGTGGCATAATGGTTAAGTGCTCAGCTGCTAACTGAAAGGTCTGTGGTTCAAACCCACCACCTACTCCATGGGAGAAAAGACTTGACGATCTGCCCCCGTAAAGATGACAGCCTAGGAAACACTATGGGCAGTTCTGCTCTGTCCAGTAGGGTCTCTGTGAGTTGGAATCGACTCAGCAACAGACGACACCACCACCACCACCACCACCACCACCACCACCTTCGATCCCCTTTCCTTTCTTTTGCCTTTTCTCCCCTTTCAAGTAATATTCAAAGACATTCACAGTTTAGTCAATACATTTAAATATTTATAAGTTATTGAGATATTTTATTGACAAAATGTTCCATAAAAACAAAAGATTCCTAGCCAGGTATTATCCAGGGTTGGTTTATGTATTTTATTAAAAATGCTTCATTTAATTCAGTAAGTTTTGTGGCTTTTCTTGGTAGAGAGTTATTTAACAGATTTCCTAGCAAAATGGTATAGTGTCTGACTGTTTACCAGATACATGGGTCACTCCAATTCACAGTAAAGGGACAATTACCTTCTGTGACTTTTCCTGTATGTTTGCCTTATGTCTTCTTTAGCAATTGGATAAAATAATTTCATGTTAATAAATTTGTTATCCTTTGAAATCAACACTGGGATTCTTTGAAGTATATTTTTTACATATGGAATCATGTGAAATTTCTCCATGAGAAAAGATACATAGTTATAAGACATAACTGAGAAATTTATACTTCGTACGTAACTTTCTTGAATAGTCATAGCCCGTAAAGTCCAATCAGATTGTACTCTTAATGTAATAATGTCAAGGCACTCTAATGTGTATTGAAACTTTTATATTTAAAGTTAATTTCGTGTGCATGCTTGAGTGTGTTCATATGCCACTATTTTTTTCCCTGAAACAAATTGTATTTGCTTATCCAAAAAACATACTTGTCTTTTTTGTCTGAGAGAGATTGCCTTTTAATTTATACTTTGCTTCAGGACTGAATGTAACTAAAGCAGAGTGTATCATGGCAGTGCATTTTTTTAATGGTTAATTACTTTGTTTTATTTGTTAGGAGTATGCAAAGTTCCCCAGGGTTTGCTGCCAGTCAGAGAGGTTGGTACTCAACTTTAAACTGTAAACAATGTTCAGAATTACTAACTCTTCCATGAATGTTTTAATTAATAATACATGTGTCATAGGTGTGTAGTTTTTTTAAAGTACTATTTTTTCTAAGTGACGATATTATATTCGGAAACAGTATTTTCATTTATTATAAAAATAGTTAAAATACTCCCTACATTCCACATTGGCTCTCGTGTAGTAGTATCTTTTAATTCTCATTCTATAACTTAAAGTTTTTTTAATTTTGGGGGTGTAATCAGTGTGAAATACAGAAGAAATGGAATCTTAGATTTAAAGCTTGGCTGTACTCAGTTTTTTTCTCATGAAATTATTACATTGATGTAGTTGATTTTTTAAGGGCCTTTTTTTAATCTGTAGCTTTAACATGTTAGATAGTGGGCTATGCATCATGTTAAACTTCTTAAAATTCCTGGATTCGTCTGACATTGACTTAATTTTTGAATGCTCATGTTTCAGCCAGAACAAGAAATGGAATTGCAGAAATCAAACGGCAGAGGAGGCTTGCATCTCATGCAGCTCCTGTCAGTTCAGAGTTGCTGACTTTACCATATGTATCAGGACAATTTACTACTTCTCCTTTGACAGCTACACAAGTTGTTCGGCCAACTGGCCAAATTTCAACTCCATTGAGGTCAAATTTTGTAGTGGTTAACCATTCACAGTCACAAGACACTGTAACCAGTAAGTTTAAATTTTTCTCTGCTGTTGGCACAGATCTAAGATTACTCAGTACCTTATGCTTTCACACTAGACAATTAGGCCAAGTTAAATATGTGTTACAAAAATTAAGAGGACTGATTTATGTTTCTCATGTAAATATAATGTATACTTAAAAAACTTAATATTGATTTTTCTTTTTAATGTTGAGTATACATTTTCTTTTTTAGTACAGATGAGATCTATGAAAGTAATGTGAGTGACCATGTAGATAGTGACTTTTTATATTCTGCTGTGTTATTTGTTGAGACTACGCTGTACTTTGTTTTATTGTAAAATCTTGAGGTATAGGGACTAGATTGCATTCATCTTTAATATCTTTTATAACGTCTTGCACATGGTAGTCACACAGTAAATGTTAACTGAATTTAGTATCAAATAATAAACATGCTACTTATCCAAATAATTCAAGTTTACAGAATTATTCAATTTCCTTGGCTTACTATTTTGTTTGGGTTTTTTCGTTTTTGTTAAAATACAGCTGGAGAAGCTTTAAATATTATTCCTGGTCCTCAGGAACGGAGAACTCATGCCAATTTAATGTCTCCTGGTAGACGCAAAAGGTAAATGTTTTTTAAAAGACAAGTTGCTGATAACCTGAAATTTAAAAATGAGAATTATGCAGAGATATTTGTGTTGTGACTAAAGCAGTAAAACTGGGTTAAGGTCTTGGGACTATTTGCTATTATATCGCATTCCAAAATGCATTTTTTCACATTTTATCCTCCCTGAAATTGGTTTGAATCTTACAGTCAGTGACATATTTCATTGGAATTTTGTTTTCTGCAGTTACACATAAAATAATAGTATATTTTAAAATTGATGTCACCTCATATTTTTGAAATAAGTATTTTTAAATGAATATAATACCAACATGTTTTAGGGTCCACAAACACGTAGTTAAGGTTTTAAATCAATTAATAATCAGAAATCTTTTCAGGGACAGTCTTTGAGAGTTCTCTCTATCTTATTTATATATATCTTTGTTTGAAGGATATTTCAGAAAAGAGAAATACTAGTTTTAAAATGTTTTTCTGGTTTCTTAGCTGTCAGATCATGGATAATTTTGTTAGAGTTTAGCTGTTGGTTATTTCACTTTAAAGCCTATCCTTAGCCTACTTTATTGCCAGCTTCTTCACATAAGCACGTAACATGTAAAACAGCAATAAAAATACCTTAACATTTGCAGCAACCTTGTCTTTTTTTTAATAAAGCCTTTACATATACTTTATTCAGTTTTTTCACAAACACAATAATGACCCCATTTTAAAGTGGGTCAGAGAATAAGAGCTTGTCTTATATTATGAGGTCACATAGCTAGTAAGTAATTAAGCTAGACCTCAAATTCATTTTTTCTGAACCCAAGTCTAGTAATGCTTTTTCTATTCTCTTGCCCTTTGTTCTTGCCACAAATAGAGAAGATATATGTTCTACCATGATAACCTTACAATGTATGTACTCATGTCTTCATTTAATCCGTCAGACATACTAGTTAAAAGATACGCTTTTAAATATGTTTCAGTGAATCTCAAAAGAAAAGTATCACTTTGTCTGGTCCTCATTCAACAATACGGAATTTTCAGGATCCAAATGCATTTGCAGTAGAAAAAGTAAGTACCGTCTCTAAACTTTGCAACTTGAAATGTTCCTGAGTATAAAAATATTGATAGATGCACATAGTGAGGGTGTGTGTGTGTAATACAGTATTTCTGTAAGACTGTGCGGTGGAATTACTTTGGGATAGAGAATAGAGTTGTGTAACAGAAGGAGACAGTCTATTCAAAATAGACAGCATGTGCAAATGCACCAAGTAAAAAGCACTGCTATGTTTGGGAAGCTATAAATAATTTGTTATTGCTGGATCATGCAACATAATAGGGCATTTACGTGGGGTCAGATTATTTTAAACTTGTGTCCTGTAGGGTCACTGAGTCAGGATTGACTCGACAGCAACGGGTTTGGTTTTTTGGTGTATGATATATGTTGAGGAGTCCCTGAATGGAGCTAACAGTTAAGCACTACTAGCAAAAGGTTAGCAGTTCAAACCCACCCAGAGGCACCTTGCAGGATAGGGTGATCTGCTTCCAAAAGGTCACGGCCTTGGAAACCCTGTTGAGCACAGTTCTACTCTGTACCCGCAGGGTCACCATGAGTTGGAATTGACTCAGCAACAGCTAACAACAATATGATACGCTAACGAGTTTAAACTATATTCCGTAAACAGTGAAGAGTTAGTGAAGGATCTGTGAAAACACTTGTAGGTTATAAAATGCAGCATTCGAGTGTTTATATGGAAAGAATCATCACAACTTCTAAATTTCCACCTAGGTTTATTAAAGTTATCCAGTTTCATTAATTGATTCTTTTAAAATAAATAATACTCTGTCGTAGTCTTGTTAATATTAGCTTTCTTTCACAGCAAATGGTTATTGAAAATGCACGAGAAAAAATATTAAGCAACAAATCTCTTCAAGAAAAGCTTGCAGAAAACATTAATAAGTTTTTGACTAGGTAAGTTATGTTTAAAATGCCTGATTGTTTTTGTATAATTGCAGAACTATGCTAAAGATTATCCTTTGTGTGTTATAGTGACAACAATGTTGTTCAAGTACCTAAGCAAACAGATAGCAACCCTTCTGAGCCAGAGGCTTCAATTGATGAACTCCTGGGACTTCAGGTATGGGTAGACCTGTCTCCCTCTCTCCCTCTCTCCCTCCCTCCCTGCCTCCCTCCCTCCCTC